TCACTACTAAACCCCCTAGTGGCATATATATAGAAGTACAGAAGAAGATGTTAAACATCAACATTGTCTTCCTAAGACAGTGTCATAGATTTCATTTTGTTGTCTGTTCTGGTGATATAATGCTTCACTTTACAATATTACTTATGGCAAAATGTACATGAGCAAAGGTTATTGATAGAAATTATTATTACAGAAAATAGCAATAGGAATTGTATAATAATGTGGATGAAAGAGAACACGCCAACAAATGTTTAACAAAGCCATAGGTATTTGCTTCAAACTGTGGAATTCTCTACAGAATGGTTTAGTGGGTCATATATTAAAATAAAGTTTAAATAAATGTATAAAGAAAGAATCATATGACAACTTGGCTTACAGACCACTGGAGTGATTGTCCGTGCAAACAAGAGGGCGCAGATTAACATCCTGCTTAGCAGAATCTCTGGATTCCCGTGAGTATCTTCATTTAAACATGGCTATTCTATGTTGAACCAGTGTCTGATTGCCTGCACTGTACATGATTGCTTTTACACTCTTTTTATTGTGTTCACAACAGAAAAACTAGAAACATGAATGACACAATCTTTCCCGTCATGTTCATCAATGAGGTAAGAAACTGTAAAGACATGCTCACACTAGATTTGAACACATGAGTTAATCAGATCATCATCTTGAAGTTCTTGCAGCATTATACATTCTTTTTTTGGAGGACAAAAACATAAAACACAATTTAAATACACAATAACATTTAAACAACCATGGCAAATATAGAGAAAAACTTAAAAATAATAAATGCTTTATTTTCAACATAAAAAAGAAAGCATATATTATTATTATTTTTTGTTTTTTGTTTGTTTGTTTCCATGCCTTTTTTCAACTGATTTGGGATATGAGGCCTATATGACGCGTGTCATATGTGTTGGATATTATATTTGTGCTGTGTGAAAACATATGTTTGTGTTTTGAATTGAGAACATGTATCGACAAAATTAGCAAATAATAAAAGGCAAGAAAAAAAGAAAACTTGGAAAATCACTTTGTAAATCAATCAATTAAAGAATAAACACATTGCATTTTCAAGATGCTAAACCAGTCACTAATCAGATCTTAGTTTCCTCTACATAAGGCTTTGTCTTTAATTCACAGACTGTGGTGATTGATGATGCGTCTGCGGCCCGAGTACACAAGCTGCTGCTGATCGTCACTCTGGTGTCCAACTTCCCGCTCCTCATCGTGGGACTGGGGGCCATCATGCTCGCAATCCTCATCATCCTCCTGTACAGAGCCCACAAACAGAAGGTATGACAACACCTCTGACCTGATTTCCTTCTAACAAGCTTAACACTTACTTGCTGTGTGCCAAAAAGTAATTTGTGTTAATTGTTGTGTAATTCAGTCAGTTGCTTAACCACCCACTAATTGCACTGTGCATGTGTTCATGTGTCCCCGTGCAGAATGAAGTAAAGCATACTGTGTTTACCAAGCCGCTCTATGCTGTAAGTCTTTTTGGTTATTTTGCTGCTTTGTTGAGTCTTAATTGTCGATATGCATTTTGTATTCAATTTTCTTTTCATATAGTAAGATCACTTACTATATAAAAATGTGTTGTGATGCTGTACAGTACATCTAGTGTCTGGTTTTAACACAATAACATCACTTAGTAAAAATACATCTCTATTTAAGTATTTAAAAATGTGTATGGTAATGTAAGATGAAACGTTTAAGTACAACAATTGTTTTTGATACAGGTATAGGTCTACAAAGTAGGATTAGATCACTTTTTAACACATTTTATCCTCAATCTCCCTCTTCAGACATCCAATGAAGAGGACACTTCTTACTCTGCAGTGAGTGATAAGGAAAAGGAGGATCCTCAAAATGGAACATATATTGGTTTGACGGCTAAAAGCGAACCACAAGAGTAAGAAGAGAGGGAAAGGTGGTTTCGTACATGGACAACCCTCAGAATCACAAATAGGGATTTGCGTTTTCAGGAGAGAGAGAAAACTGTCCATATCTCCTCTATGATTGGAAATATTTAAAGGGTTTAGAGGAGGGGAACATGCTTTAGTCTCAACCATATTGTACTATATGTACATAATTGTAATGTCCAGGTCACGGTATTTCCAGAAAAAGCTTGACATTCATACAAAAAAACTGTGAGTCAGGAGCCAAATATTGCAGTTTAAATCAGTTTGCTGTAAGCTGCAGTTCTTATAATTAGAGTTAGAGAGAGCTTTTTGTGGTGGTCCTAAACAAAGAAAACCCACCCCTTTATACCTCAGAGGTGTGATGAATTTAATTTGAATGACTGAACTTATTCTGTTTGCCTGGAGCAGTGGTTCTCAACCTGGGTGTCGCAGGATCCTTTCTGGGTTTTGAGATGGTTGTTGAGCAAAACATTTAAATAACGCAAAGACCAACCTGATAATTGTGACTTGAAAAGGTTGAGAAACACTGGCCTATATCAGATTTAGGTGACTGACAACTGTGTAATACGGCACACATGAGGATTTGAGACCAGGGTAATTGAAGTCTGTAAACTGTGATTTCTTTCTTTTTGTATAGATATTATACGCCACTCTCAGGGGGCCACTCTCAGATACTATCAAAAAATAATATCTTAAGGAAGGGTAAAGAAGCAATAAATCATCTAAATTTGAATAAATTCAGTGTAACTATTGTTAATTTGCATTTGATCCTAACTAGATGTTACAAAACATGTTCATGGCTCATTATTGTCAGTTATGCACTGTGGGGGATCTGTGAACATCATTAGCACCACACCTGAGAAACCCTCAGAGTATGTTCTTTTATATATACAGTGTAAGGTGTGTTGAACTGTTCACATTCCTCTCAGTGTATAATGGGGAATATCAGACAAAACACTGTATATTCTGGATGTTTTAAGCTTTTGTGAAATATGAAGTTCTCTTTTTGTAAATGTTAATGTAGAAATGTCTCAATGAAGTAAGAGCTTCACAGTTATCTTCTAGTGCCATAATGAGCAACACTTTTATCAGCCATTTAAATCCCTGAATATGACAAGTTTTTATTGTAAAAACAATGATTCATAATGTACTGAATGTGTGTGTTAACGTATCTATGCCCTGTTTGACTGCTTACATTAACTCACGCCATATCAAAATATGATTCAGCTTATTATTAGTTCAATAGGGTTTTTGTTATGCTTTTGCTGAAGGCCTTAATAGCATTGTTGGTGCTCAATATAACACCCAACAAGATTTTCTTTATAATGTTTGTGAAATACTTCATGTCAGGGCAGGGTCTAGCTATTTCTACTAAACCCTCATGAAGGTTCAATATATGAAGGAACAATGCAGTTCTGCCTTTCAAGATTTGTTACTGAATTTATTTGGCCCTTTTATAGTTTTTACATATATTGTCAAAAGAACGCCATGTCACACCATCAAATCTCATGAAACTGAGAAATGTTGCATTTATTATCTTTTTTTGCCGCCAGGGTCAAACTGCACTTAATCACTCAAGGCTGCTCAACACATTGTATGTGCCATTAAATGCAGTATAGAAATACTGCATAATTAATACATTTAAACTCTGTTGAGCCCAACCTTTAGTACTGCTTTTATTTGTAGTTATATAATTGTAGGCATACATTAGTTATTATTCATACTGTCTCCTCTTACATGCACTATAATAAAAAAGCAATACATATATCAGAGATTAGCAAAGAAGATGTAACAAGTTTAATTCAAGCTTTGATTTCACTTTTTGTGGTCGTGTATACTTTAATCAGTTATGTACAATAGAAAACAATAAGGAAAATAAAATACTTTCTTTTGTCGAATGTACTATCAAACATGTATGAGAGGGGGGGAATAAATGGATGAAACTATATTTTTGCAAAAAGTACAGTATTACACAGTATTAGTGTTGTGGTGAATAAGATACATCATTTTTGTTGCATTGGTAAACCAAACCAAAACCTAGAAAGCACCATATGGACTGTTAACTGGGCTACTTTTTGCCATGCTTTTATAACAGATTTTATTTTTCTGTAATTATAGTTACTGCTATAACCACTAAGAATTATAATTGTCAGGTTGTTTTGAAATGCTGACTGTTAATACTATTTTTACTGTGTACACAAAATAAAAGTAGTTTCAGTAAAGGTGTCTTCTCTTTATTAAAGCCCTTTTGACTGTTTGATTGTCATCTCAGAGACGTTTGTAGCTAGAAATGTATTTACTCTTAATGTTTAAATACAAAAACAGATGTTTCCAGTGTTGTCATAGGCCCACATTGTTTTCTTTACTAGTTTGAAGTGTTGGGTGTGTGTTCTGTTCTAGGATAAGGCTCTATTGTCTCGGTATGGAGTAAAGGTAATATCCTCCTGGTCTTTGTGAGCTGACATAGTATAAATCACATAACAGGATACATCAGAAAAGGGAAAACACAGAAACCCCACCCTTATTTTACTTTTGACAAATATATCAATCAAGAATATACCCCTATATGATCCACCATTGTAGCTTCTTTTACAGTATAATAACTTTGATAATGTTTTTTCATAAAAGATGTTTTCACAATTTGTATCTGAGTCACAAGACTAGCAAATCCAGGAGAAAATAAAATGTTTGTGATTGAGGGTACTGTAAATGGAAGGGTCGATAAATTGGCCAAGAGGGCTTTGGAGGTTTAATGTGACAATAAAGCTATGGGATGCAGAGAGACATTTTTAGGAATAATCTGTGGGAATTGTGGATGCCTGAATTGACATTAATATGATTACTGAGCATGTGACAGAGCACAGGCCATGGTTAATACAATGTTTTATATATGATACGGTGCTAGGGTAGCTGATCTGGAAAAGGAGATTTATAATAGGAGTCGATTGTAAAACAAGCATGGAAAATAACATGTAGGTTTTTTTTAATGCGGTTTTGGATTGACCCAATCAACACGCCTAATCAGATGATGGCGCTAAAGCGCCTCTAAACCGGATGTTAACCGCCGTTAAAGAAGCAGAAGAAGAACTGCGAAGACGAAGAAGAAGACAACATGGCGTTCAGTTTTGGCGGCGCAGCGGCTAACCCTGCAGCAAGTAAGTTTAATAAACCTGGGAGTAGTTTAATAATGCTGCAAAGAAAGATGCTCATTACATAGTTTCTAAATAGTGTTATTTTGGTGTACATTCACGATCAATTACACTAATAAACGGTCAACTGACAGCGCAAGTGTCTGTCAACAGTCATGAGAGTTGGATATTTTACCGGCCGACAAAATAAATAATGCGATATGTTTTCTCTATCCGAGACCTGCATATGGCTTTTTAACCAGATTTGGGAATGCTTTAACTCTTTCAAGTAGGCTTCAAGTAAACGGCTCTCTTTTGATACCCAACCTTACTGCATGTGTCCCGTTATGATGTAGCTAGCCCTTAGCTAACGTTAGCTGTTTTGGCTAATGAACAATCCTCAAGTTTACTCATGTCAACGTTAAAATATGAGCTTCGAGTTTGCAGTGGTGTAAAGTAACTAAGTACATTTACTCAAGTACTTTATGTGCAATTTTGAGAAACATGTACTTCAGTGCTTCAATGTTTTGCTACTTTGGACTTCTACCCCACTACAATTCAGAGGTAAATAGTGTACTATTACTCCACTATGTTTATTTAATAGCTTTTTAGTTACCGTAGTTACCAGATTTGGATTAATGATGTGAAATGTAATCAACACAACACAAAACAAAACTTTATTTACACCTGGAGTAAATTCACAAGCTACCCTGCAGTCTAAAAAAGTGATGCAAATTAGCTGAAACTAGCTTTACCAGCTTTGATAACACATTAATGTATCAATAATTATAAACAAAACATATATATATTCTGGAATCAACCAATTTTCATAAAGGGTACTTTTGCTTTTGGTACTTTAAAGGTAGGGAAGGTAAGAATGGAGAAACCAGCTTGAGTCTGCCTCTTCCTTCAGACTTCCTTACAGAGCCCCTCCTCCAACACACACGAATGCGCACATGACCAATGAGGGCACGAGATACGTTTGTGCACAGATGGAAGGCTGACAGGCAGGTTGGCCATCCAGTTATTTTAGCCTACCCCACCTTTAAGTATATCTTCATGCCAACACTTTTGTACTTTGACTTGAGTAACATTTTGAATGCAGGGTTGCGGTCGAATAGTCCAAAAATCAGCTCCTAACGTCTATCCCTATCGTCTATCCCTTGACCTCTGAGTGAAACGTCACGGGGTTAAGGGATAGTGGATAGGAGAATTCAAAAGGATTTAGGAGAAGAGACTGCGGTGCTTTAGAGAATCCGACTGCACTTTCACTATCCAACGTGTTTATGATGCNAGCCGAGACATGTAGTTACGGCTGGTACGACTGGTTCATTCACTTCTCATCTGTTATTTTACATAACGCGCTTTACAGGGTCGTCAAATTCCTATACTTCCAAGATTAGTTAGTCTAATGGTATCGGTAATGTACAAGGGTTGCAGGATTACTGTCCTTCGGCTTTCCGTAATATGTTTATTATATGAGAATTATCGACTACAAAAAAAAAATGTACCGGTGTTAATAGTAATAAATTTTTGGTTTATACTTGTAACTCTTTTTAACTCCTTTTTGACTACTAAGGTTTACAGACACATGTTCATCATTAATCAACACGACTATGTATGTAACGTTCGTTTACACAGTAAAGAAAAAAGTGAGGAGCACGACTTGGTACCGACTTTGGATGGTTAGTCCATCCCCGCCGAAGTGTCCTTATGCAAACCCTTGTTTTAGTGCGGATAAATTTTCCGACTCACCAAAACCGTCCCGTCACCCACAAAAGAGTTACGCTCATTTGGACGACGTCCTCGGTTATAAAAGTTTCGTAATAATGCAGTGAGCTCACGGCGGCTTCATGACAAGGTTAGAGGTCGTATGAACCTTTGACAGATGACATACGGGCCTAGCATGAAGCAATCCTCTTTTAAAACTCGACGTGTACTCATCTGAGTACCCAGAATTTTAGGGGTGTTACTGAAACGCGTCCTCTGGTTAAAGGGGTTTTGGAACCTTCGGGGAGTTACGTCACGCCGTTTACGAGCGAAGAAGCAAGAAGAACACATTGCAGTCTCCAGGTTAGCCCACAGACAATCGGTACGGGCGTAGGGAGACCAGGATTCAGCTTCTCGACGAAGGCTCCCACCCAGATATATTTCCGTCCACCAATAATATTACAAGCCGTCAGACAGTCCCAGTGGGCTGAGCGTACGTCTGACTAGACGGTCTGGGGTGAAGAAGTAACTACAAAAAACTCTGCCTTGGTGGGTCCGAAAGCAAAAATCCGCAACAATCACACCAGGATAAGCCGCACATCCAGCTAGGGAGGATCCGCGGTAGTAGGACCCAGGGTTACAATCGCTATCATTACGCCCTCCCGGGCCGATCGAGGGTGAGGACCGAAGGTTCGTTGGTACGTAGAGACCTCTCCAGCAAAAGTCTCCACTTAACTTTAGAGATACGACGGAACAACTTCCCCGCTCCGCCATGAACTCGGTATGATCCCGCACGAGAGCACAGACAATACGTCCTACACGGATCAAGATACGAAACCCGAACAGGACCGGTCCCCGCTCCCAACCGCGAGGGCAGCCTCGGGCCGGCCTCATAAGGCCTCCTGAAGTTCTCCCTGATGTTACCCCCAGTCCGATAGTTCGTAGGTCAATATTAGGACTCACGCAACAACTACTCGTGCAGGTTGGAGGGGTTGCGTTCGGATAGTTTAAAAATCAGCTCCTAGGTTCTAACCCTATCTCCTATTCCTTGACCTCTGAGTGAAACGTCACAGGGTTAAGGGATAGTGGATAGGAGAATTCAAAAGGATTTAGGAGAAGAGACTGCGGTGCTTTAGAGAATCCGACTGCACTTTCACTATCCAACGTGTTTATGATGCGCCAGCAGACGTCATAAATGTGCGTCTGCTGCTGTGGGGAAACTATGGAAACTACAGTTTTCTATACAGCGGACTACAACATGGATGTATAATAAGAACGAGGGACTACTGTAAACTCATCGAGAGACTCTGCACCGTGCTCTGATGCTGTTGCTTTATGCTTTATGAACGGGGACAACAGAGAAACATATTCTTCATGACCAAAGTTGGAATTGAAATAAAAAAGGAAAGTGAAACTTATGCTCGTCACTCTCTCCCTCCGGTCCACATTAATACAAATGATCCCAATACGTATGATTGTATGAACTATGAAAATATCTTAAAATCAATACAAATGTATTTGTTATAAACGTTAGTCCTTAACATCTATCACTGTGTATATCACCATTCAAACATCTTTTTAAAAGTTGAACAAAGCTCACAGCTCAGTAAAGACTGTGAAATGTTGACTTTATTTGATCATTTCAGTAAAAACTAACGTTCATATTTCTCTTTTTGATTATAATACTGATTACCGTTCAAAACAAGTTACCCTTTTAAAACGTAACTTTCATGATATAATTTCTCGGTCATAATCGGTTGTTTCCGTGAACGGCCGAATGTTGTGTGACGGCAAATGCTGCGTCTGCAAGGCATTGTGGGGCAGCATTTTCTCCTCTCCTTTCGTCAAGGGAGGTCCAGTGGTTCCTAAGCTAAAGGAGGTTATAAAATAAGTTTGAAACCTCCTTTCCTATCATCTGGAGAATTCGAACAGCACTTGTCATCGCTGCCACTGAGGTACTTCCGGGTCACTCCGTTAGGAAGGTTCCTAAGCTAAATGGACNGCCTTCTGGAGTGGCCCAGTCAGAGTCCTGACCTCAACCCAATTGAGATGCTGTGGCATGACCTCAAGAGAGCGATTCACACCAGACATCCCAAGAATATTGCTGAACTGAAACAGTTTTGTAAAGAGGAATGGTCCAAAATTCCTCCTGACCGTTGTGCAGGTCTAATATGCAACTATAGGAAACGTTTGAGGTTATTGCTGCCAAAGGAGGGTCAACCAGTTATTAAATCCAAGGGTTCACATACTTTTCCCACCCTGCACTGTGAATGTTTACCTGGTGTGTTCAATAAAAACATATAAGTTTGTGTGGTTTTAGCTTAAGCAGACTGTGTTTGTCTATTGTTGTGACTTAGATGAAGATCAGAACACATTTTATGACCAATTTATGCAGAAATCCAGGTAGTTCCAAAGGGTTCATATTTTTGCAACTGTAAATGGACTATTCGACTGCAACCCTGGACTTTTACTTGTAACAGAGTATTCCTACACTCTAGTATTTCTACTTTTACTTAAGTACAATATCTGAGCCCTTCTCCCACCTCTGCTAGCTATTGAAATCCGTTGTAGCTGTACGTTAATGTAACTGTCACGACACTCAACACTCATAGCACTCTCTATGTTCATGTGAAGGCACGTCCGGGTTTTCATTCGGTTCATTTGGTGCCAAAACTACAGCATCAACGGCAACATTTGGCTCAGCAGCAGTCCACAGATCCGATGGTCACTAAAGAGGGTACCTCTCCTCATCTGAGCCCCAATAATCAAAGCTACTCGGCTTTGTTGTTGGGCAGTTGTATTGAAGAGATCGACTAGGTCTGTCTCATCCAGATTCGTAGGAACAGCAACTTATACACCTGCCACTTCATTAGGTACATTTAATGCGTATTCAATACAACAATGTTGCCTCTACATGCATAATAATGTTCAGTTTACTTTGACACTGTAGGAGAGGTATCACTTTAAAAACATTGTTATGATTGAGCTATTAGTTTGCAGTGGTGATATACTTGTATTTATTATTTTGTCTGGCATTTACATCTGAGGGGCAGAATAGTATAATTACCTCAACATAATGTACTCCAGCACTACGCTAATAATAATAATAATAATAATAATAATAATAAATTGTATTTCTATAGCGCTTTTCTTGAACCCAAAGATGCAAATACCCACTAAGAACTCAATTATAAACATAGTTTGTATTGGATTTAATGACGTTATTAGTATTACTGTTATCTTTTTTTAATATATTCTTTAATTAGTTATTTCTCACATTGTCTTTTATTTCCAAAAGTAATTTGATATAGTAAAACAGCTTCCTTTACAAAGGGTTACAATATAAAGTTCTATTCTTCAAACATGAAAGTAAATAATAATTGAAAACAAATTATAACATATAATAAAAACAGTAACCAATGCAAATAACAAGCATATCAAAATGGACAATAAACATGTGTTATTTATAAGTTCACCTTACATAGGTACACATTTTCAGTCTAAAATACATAAGAAAATATTTAATTTCATCCAATTTATGTATCTCAAAATGAAATGCAGTACATTTTCAACATTATTTAATGTAAACTCCCTTTTACTCCTATTAGACTAGCTCAGGGTCTATGTGCAGATTAGTCTATATGAGTAAGAGATGATCCTTTTATTTATCAATATTCCCAAATTGTCTCCATTTGTGGTTTCCATCTTTCTGTAAAAGATCACTCCATAATCTTGGCATATGTCGTTTAGCAACATGTGGATTTGGAATCATTATGATCAAACAACATCGATATGAAATCATAGAGAAAATGAACTGATCTTGTGATAACTATTGGTAGTTATCACACAGCCCTGGTTATATCCAAATCTCTGTCTGCCAGTTTAACTCACTGCCGTTCTTGTCTGCTTTTTTCTTTTAGCTCTTACAGCTCCTGGTTTTGGGGCAGCCCCCACCGCTGCTGCTGCACCAGCCACAGGATTCAGTTTTGGCTCCACCAACACTGGTAAGATACAGGTGTTATAAACAAAGCAATGGTTTTTAAGGTACCTGAAGACTGTGTTTACAATATATGCAGTCCCATATGAGGCCTGACCTTTTGTCCTTTTAACTCCTTCATGTCATTCTCTCTTTCTCGCTGCCTGCCTCCGCTGGCTGCAGGATTTGGGGGGCTGGGAGCTGGAAACACCACGGCTGGTGGGTTTAGTTTTGGGGGGTTTGGTTTAAATGCCAACCCAGCAGCAGTCAGCGTTAATGTGGGGTGCTTTGGTACAGCAACCACCACTGGCACTGTTTTCAATTTTGGTAATAGCCTGGCTAGCACAGGTAGATGACCTTTGTGATTAATGAATCAGTACAGTCTGTCTGTAAACACATTTTCATCCATTTCCACATCTGTGTGGTGCAGTGATTTTTCATCTCACTTGTGGCTTTGTCTCATAAAGTGCCATGCATCGTAGTTTCCATTTGCATGAGGAGACAAAATGTTGTATCATGCACTCACCTTTTGATTTCTTTGCAAATCTAGTAAATTTTCACCTTCTCTGTAAAAAAGATAAGCAAAAAATCAGTGTCCCTTTCTGTTAATCTTCAAAGCTCTGTCGTGATTTTAAGCTCCCTATATGCAGGAGACAGTCAGCTCTTTCATTTTTTTTTTTATTCACTCCATTTATCTATCTTTCAACCCTTTTTGTATCACCTCCTCCATCTCACTTGGCATGATTTGCTTAACATTTCAGGTACGTTTGGTGGCTTTGGGGCAGCTGCAACAACTGCACCTGCACCAGGATCCACTTTTAGCTTTAGTACTCCTGCCAACACCACAGGTCAGCAGTGTAACTCTTATTGCTTTTCTTTATGTATGTTTATGTCAAGGAAATACAAGTTGCGTGCATACAGCGTTTAAAAAAACACATTTCCAATAACAAAAAACGTAGGATATTTTTTCTCACTGTTGATATTTTGTTCTGTTTTAGGAGGCCTGTTTGGTAACACACAGAACAAAGGTTTTGGGTTCTCCTCTGGGCTTGGTACCGTGGCTCCTGCTGGGGGAACAGGATTTGGAACTGGATTAGGAACAACAACCCTGGGAGGGTTTGGAGGTTTTAATATCCAGCCCACTCAGCAGCAGACAGGTAAGACCTGGATCTCAAGGACAGCTGTTGTCAATACAGAAAATTCAAGCTTATATCTGAAATTGCTTCTCAGTTAGTTAATTATCAGTTTCTTAGGCAGTATTATCATGAAAATGAAATTAAAAGCACATAATAGTCGGCTCGTCACTGACGATAATCACATTGAAGTACGTTTGAGCAGCAAAAGAAACACGGAATTCAAACCATTTCAAAATCCAGCCACCTATAATTCTTTTCTCAGCAGGGTCACACACAAACTTCCATTACAACTCTACAAACGATTTACCTCTTATCCCTGCAGAGGGCGACAACAATCACATGTTTACAGAAATCAGCATTATTATCGTCATCAATACAAATGTGCAGTTGAAGCAAATATAAAATACTGTTTAAGTTTTGACATTTTTGGAGACTTTTGTAGTATTACCCTGTTAATACAAGACCATAAAGATGTTTCAGGAAATGTAAAGGACTACACAATCAGACGTGATATTTGACCTCACCTGCCCCCTACCAGGAGGCTTGTTCTGTCAGCCGGCCCAGCAGCAGGCCCAGCAGCAGGCTCACGCTCAGACCACCCAGCTGTACCAGCAGGTCACTGCTCTGTCAGCCCCCACCTTGTTAGGAGATGAACGTGACACCATCTTAGCCAAATGGAACCAGTTGCAGGCTTACTGGGGCACTGGGAAGGGCTACTACAGCAACAACAACCAACCTGTCGACTTCACGCAGGAGAACCCATTCTGCAGGTTCAAGGTAATGACCGATAGTTTATAAAAGTGTTTTGAAGTGTACTTTAGGTTCTTTTGAACTTCGTCAAATTGTATTTCTGTGATTTGTTTCCTAGGCGGTGGGCTATAGCTGTGTCCCAGTGAGTAAGGATGAGGACGGTTTAGTGGCCTTACTTCTCAATAAAAAGGAAGCTGATGTGCGAGCGCAGCAGCAGCAGCTGGTGGAGACTCTTCACAAAGTCCTGGGAAGCAACCAGTCTCTCACTGTCAATGTGGATGGTGTCAAAGCCCTGCCCAATGACCAGTAAGTAACTATAATGTCATTCACTACTATAACACACTTGGAAGACAAGGAAATGTAATTGTATTTATGTTCAACATTTCAACGACAAAGCGATTTAAAGTGCTTGCAAATAAGCAACACTTTGGCAAAAAAAAAACACATCTTCTGCCTTGATTTAAAGAATTGAGAGTTGGCAGCAGACGTGAAGTTTTCTGGTATTTTATTCCCAATAGATGGAGTGTAAAACAAAACGCTGATTGTACATTTAGTTTTGACTCTGGGAACAGAAAGCAGACCCGTCCCTGACAACCCAATATAGGTCTGGATGGTTCATAATGTAGCAAAGGATCAGAAATGTATTTTGGTCCTAAACCAAAGCAAGAATTTTAGGTGTAATAAATTCTATAAATCAAAAAAATGTAATGAAATGTTTGTGTGTTCTTTGCCCTAGGACTGAGGTGATCATTTACGTGGTGGAGCGTTCTCCTAATGGCACCTCCAAGCGGATCCCTGCCACCACACTCTTCAGTTATCTGGAGCAGGGCAACATCAAGGCCCAGCTCGCATCGATCGGAGTGGCCATGTCGGGGACGCGCACAGAGCTGTCTCCAGCTCAGCTCAAACAGCTGCTGCAGAATGCACCTGCAGGTAAATGCATAGTTGTGTCATCATCTTGATGATTTGAATTAGTTTGTTGGTGATTAGAAGTTATTTACTTCTGAGGATGTTGTTTCCTCTCACTAGGAGTGGACCCCATCATTTGGGAGCAGGCTAAGGTGGACAACCCTGAGCCAGACAAGTAAGTGAACAAAGGGGGTTTATGAACAATGTGATGACGGGGAGTAGATCCTCTAGTTACTGCATTTTCATTTCAACCAACATACTTGCATTTGACCTTCCTGGTTAACACTTACTGTACCAACTGCTTAAATGCTAGCTAAATCAGAGCTAAGATTGTATATAATTCTCTCAAGCCCCATTCCAAGTTGAGCATGACATAAAGCAGGCAAGTTTGTTGCACCCATGGTGTTGATAATAGTCTTGCACACCTGACCTTTTATTGTATACTGCAGTTTTTAGTGCATATGTCTTTATCAATTCTCCTCTTAACTCCCTGCACCACCTATGCAATAAAGAGCTACTCTTTTTGCACGTTTAGCCTAATTGGATGCACGTTTTCATTTAAAAGAAGCTTCACACAACCAAATCAGTGCTTCATATTTTATGAGGTTTAGTGTTATACATTTGCTCAGATTTGGGTGTTTGCAGCCGCTGCCTAGACTTCCTATATATATTGAATTAAAGTTCAATTAAACAGCCCTTTTTTCTCAAGAGATTTAGAAGTGTTTCCATGGCTCTGACATGCTTTAACATTGTCCATTATGCACCTCTTTTCTGCCTGTTGATTTTCTGCGATAAAAAAAAATGACATTAAGTAACATCATGTAGAAATGCATGATTAAATTTAATTTAAAAATGTGTCCAGACTCATACCAGTGCCCATGGTGGGTTTCAAGGAGCTCCTTCGCAGGCTGCAGTTCCAGGAGCAGATGACCAAACAGCACCAGACCAGAGTGGATGTAAGTGAAAACACGGCTGTCTGTTTTAGCTCTCCAAATGTCAAAGAAAGACTCGCTGGACATGGGCACAGTGCCTTCCGATAATCAACAAAGGTATTTTGAGTTTGTGGTGTCAAGGACAGAGTACACAGATGTCCAATAAATGCTGCCAACAGGTTGTTTATAGCCAAAATAAATATTATAAATACAGCCACAAGTGTTTACTTTTATGTGTATCAATGCGAAGCTCTTTTTGTGTCTTATTTCCCTATTTTAGAGAACTTCGGGCTCCGTTTCTTGCGTGAAAGGATCTTTATTAACAAGCTTCATTAATATTATAGTGGCAAAGGGAACTCACCACTCACTATTTGTTGAGGGAAACTGTGTAGGACTGAGTTGAAAAACTGAACATAGTTTGTTGTTGAGCTAAATTGTTTTCTATTAAAAATGTTATCGGTAGAGAAATGTCAAATGTTAATTTACCTCCCTTCGTTTTTCCCAAACAAATACTCATCACAAAAAACACATGGAATACAGATTATTTCTGGTGACATTAGTGAGCTGCAGAAGAACCAGGCGACAACAGTGGCCAAGATTGCGCAGTACAAGAGGAAGCTGATGGATCTCTCTCACAGGGTGCTGCAGGTAGCTGCTCTCTTTGTTCAGCCACATTTAGTTGGTTATTGACAAGGTCTGTGATAAAAGACATCTCCCCACTTAGAGTTTGAATGAATGCCCAGGCACTGTCTGCGTGTCCAATATTTTCTTTGATATTTATCACTCCTCCCTCCCATCCCTGTTTTCCTGCCAGGTGCTAATCAAACAGGAAATCCAGAGAAAAAGTGGCTATGCTATCCAAGTGGACGAGGAGCATCTCAGAGTTCAACTGGATACCATTCAGTCTGAGCTGAATGCGCCCACGCAGTTCAAGGTAAGGATGCCTAAAGCAGTGGCGGTTCTAGACCAATTTGACTAGGGGGGCCAGGCTGGGGCCAGTTATGTCATGAGAGGGGCACAATAAAAGCGGGTTACAAAGACAGTATAAAGTTATTGTGTAAAATAAACATAAAATACAGTAATTGGTATTTGTTTTAGTAATTGGTAATTTGTTTTAGTACATTTAAGTTACAATTTAATTAAAACACATAAACAGTATTTGCTTTTATATGAGGTAATGAACAGTTTAATCTCCTTTGTACATCCGGGTCTCCGATTTGATTTAGTTCCAATAAATTGTAATATTGTAAGCTTTTTTTTTGGAGCGGCGCCACGGGGGTCCCTGGTCAGTGTTACGGGGGCTATGGCCCCCTGTTGCCCCCGCCCCGCTAGAACCGCCCCTGGCCTAAACCAACAAGTTATACATGCAAGCCGACCGTGGACATGTTTCCATTCATCAAGCTCTTATTAGAATGCAAATCAGGATAAAAAGGGTTTACTCTGTTTGAAAATGATATATTACCAAAACAAATTGGTTTTCAACAATGAATTCAATATCCTGTAAGAACAGTTGGTCGATCACTTAGAAGTTATTCAGGAAATAAAACCGTTTTCATTGGTATTTTAGTATTATTTTCGCTAACCCGATCTGGTTACATTGCAATTATTTATTTTTATTTATTATTTAAGGTGTCCTGGGAAGGTTTCAACAAACTAAAGTGTTTACATTCAATGTTGCTCCCCAAAATGCAGGGTTTTTTTTTGTTTTAAGTTTGAAACCTGCATTGTTAACATCCATGTTTGCTAGCAAGCATTATTACTCTTTACTGCCTTTGCCAAAGCATAATGTGACACCATTAGCGGTCATGAGTTGTTGGCCATCCTTGAGATAAACAACACATGTTGCCTTTTAAGCTTCATTTCCATCAAGTTGTATTTTTGGCTTGTCAATCCAACGCTTGGGACAAAGTTTTTGGTGGATATTTTACAGTATTTGTGTTGTTTTCTCTTCCAGGGTCGGTTGAATGAATTAATGTCTCAGATCAGGATGCAGAATCACTTTGGAGCTGTGAGATCAGAAGAGCGATACAGTGTTGATGCA